GAAGCAAAAGGCATAGCGACAGCGAGGCAGCGCACATTTTCGACATCGCTGGCTGAAGCACGTCACGAACATAGCTTGGTTCCACCTTCCACACGAATTGGCATACCTCAAAATTCCAGCACAGCCCAGGACGGACCTAGTTGCACCGAAGAGGCAAAGCCCACGACCACGCAGAAGCCCAAAGTCTAAGTCCAGACTGGAATGGAAAGGACAGCTGCAGACACTATGCGGAAAGGGGCAAAGCATTGACAAGGAGGCAGCGATTGGCCTCAGACACAAGAGAACTGAAATGATCCGGAGTGGATCATGGCTCACATATAGGCGCAGGGCAAATTCCAAGCCACCGTGGGGGCATGACAGACAAAGAGAGACCTGATCACAAACAAGAAACAGAAGAGCCCGTCCAAGGCAACAAAGAAGCCCTGCGTTCAACCATCAGGAATTTTTGGCCCATTTGGCCGGAGGTGTCTCTCCGGTTGGCTCATGAGAGCGCCCACCCTGGCTAAGCTGCACCAGTTGCCGCAGCGTGCTGCTGATCTCGACAAAGCGCTCGTCAATCTTGCCTTCAAGTGAGCTCTGCTTGGTCTCGATACTAGACACCTGGGACTGCAGAGAATCGAAACGGGCTTCAAGAACCTCAATTCGCTTGCTTTCCGCAGCCGTAGGGACGGGCACAGAAGGAGTGGTCGTTTTGTCATCCTTCGGAGAGGATCTGGACCCTTTCTTGCGTGGAGCCTTCCCTTTCCCATGGCCTTTCTCTCCAGCAACCGATGGCGACAGCAAGATCTGGAAGACATCAGAGTTCACTTTGACGGTGAATGTGTCGACCTTGGGTTCAGCTGCAAATCCAAGCTGCCAGACATGAACTCCGGCTTGGCGATACTGACGGGTTGGCACAGGCGGAAGGCCAACAGCCTTGTTGACAGCTTCAACCACATCTGCAGCTGCGGCACCAGTCGGCCAACCCGAAGCTTCATACATGTGCTTGGGCACGACCGCAATGTTAGAGTCCGTCAATCGTGGGTCAGCGGGCAGGAGAAGGCGGCGCACATCCGCTACATTGCGTGCCCATGCTCGGACAGCGAGTCCTCTGCGGGTCATCGTGATGCCAGCGACTCCAACGACCTGAGCAATAGTGATCTGGATCTCCCTGAGCATACGCACATTGATCTCCCAAAACTTGGGAACGACCGTGATGTCACTGCTCATGGCTCCTCGTTCCAGGTAATCTCGAATCAAGACACCATCATGGCCACTCTGTTGCATCAGAGTCGGTCTGGTGGAGGTTGGCACCTTAGCAATGATTTGAATTTGGTCGTCAGCCCGAGTGGATGCAGGGTGGCGATTATGCCGAAATCCATAAACGGTGAGGGAGTCCTTCAGGGCCGGAGCTTGAGCCAGGAGGAAGTCACGAAAAAAGGCGATCGGTGATGCCTTGGCTTGGTCAAATTCTTGCTTGGAGCAAAGGCGTGAGTCCAATTCCAGGACAAGCTCAGACACCGAGGTGATGGTAAACTCACACGCCGGATCTTTTAACCGAAATTCGAATTTCCCCACCACTGGCACTGCGTGGGTAATTCTTTTGTAGCTCTGGTTGACGGCCTTATCAAACAGGATGACCTCAAACGGTCCATGCGCAGTGACACCCAATGTGGCCTTGGTGTGGTCATCCAACTGCGGCAGCAACAGGACGAGTGGCTGTTTGGTGTTGAGGCGAAAAAGGTCGGGCACATATTGGCGGGTGGTCATGATAATGCCCCCATTTAGGCTGGTAGCCTGGAGCCTGTGCAATTGCAACAGCTGGTTGCCCTTCTCATCCAAGAACGGGTGAGCTTTGGGCAGTTGGAGATCTTCCCATTTCGAAGGTTGCTGCTTTGTGCGCGCCCAAGGGTCATGCACCGTCAAAGGATCGATGGCGGAGGCTGGAGATGCAGTCGATGGAGCAGCAGGCTGACCAGGCATTACAGCTCCTCCGGCAGCAAAGTCACTCGGAATCCGATTCTGGATAATCTGGTGGAAATGCAAGACAAGCAACTGCGCCGCAAACCGAACAACATTCTCATCGCTGGAAGTCCACTGGGCACGCGCTTGAACCTGAATCCACTGAAACCATGGTGCAAGAGGATGCATACGCAGAGTGGCAAGAAGTTCTGTGGAAGGTGCCGGCAACAAGGTGCCAAAGCGGCGGAACAGAACAAACATCAGCGCCCAGCCACATAGATTGTCAGGAGCATGAAAGTCAACAGCTTGAACATGGACCACGCAGTCACCAGACAGAACTTGCTCCGCGATGGCATGGCCAAGAGGCTCATCCAGTGCACTCAGCACCGATGGACGATGCACAATGACAACGAAGTCCCACACTTGACGGCGAAATTCACAGAGGATCCAATGTTGGCCGACTAGCGCAAACACAAAGGCGACCTCATACGAATCAATCTTGCTGACAAGCCCATCGAAGAACGTGATGTCACGAGTTGCGTCGTGCCACTGACATGGTGGTGCAAAGAAGGCCCTGGGGGCAACTAAGCGGAGGAAGTCCAAAGCAAAGTCCAACGTGTCAGAAAACATCCAACCCGGGTGTGGAGTGGTCGCAACCAAACGGCCAAGGACCCGATCAACTGGTTGTGTCTGCAGCGTTTGGCAGTGCACCGATCTGGAGTCCCTGAAGAGGGGAGGATCCGGGATGTATGTGGTGCTCGCCGCGGCAGGGACTGTCGGCAGAGGCACAGGGTGGAGGTTCAAAGGAATGTCAGTGAGCATCCCAGTCTGACTCTCGACAACCGCAAGATCAATGAGAAAGTTGAGTCGAACCCGGAAGGCAAAGCTCTTGAGATCGGCATCCTGTGTGTAGCGGTGCCAATCTCTCTGTGAGGCCAGAACGGAGGCGACCGCAGCTTCAATGTGGTGCGGATTCAAGCCTTGAGCACGTGACAGGCTGTCGGGCAAACGATCATGAAGTCCAACGGCACGAAAGAGCCGATACAAAAGGCACCACCCACACATGTTGTCATCAAGGACCGAGAGGTCAAGCTCAATTGTAGCACGCTGAGGCGAAATGTCAACCAGGCGACAAGTGATGTGAGCGGCGCGGACTGCCAGATCGTGAGGGAGGCCAAACACATGAACAGAGACATTGGAAGCCGATTGGACAGTCTCGATAAGCGCCCAGTGCGCCTGAACTTGGAGGAGGAGAAGGGTGCGTCCCTCAGAGGCGAAATGAGTTTCACCATACAGGTCATCATTAAAATCACCGAACTTGGGATCCCAGCGTTGCAGGCCAACGGAGGTAGCATACTGGGGCGCATGCTGCTGCAGGTAATTCAGTCCAGCAAACAACTCATCTGAGGCAGCCCACCCATTGGTGGTCGAGGCAAAGGCCAAACGCTGTGCAAAGTTTGCCCCACGGGCCAAATGTGCCCCATCTTCACGGGTCGGATGGCCTCCAGCAACTACGGCAGGTGAAGTGTCCGGGACAAGTGTGAGTAAGTCTCCTGTGTGACACTGAACACACTGATCAATGATCGGTCTTCGATTTTGTTGCTGAAGCTGAAAGGTTCCATGCCTTGTGACAAACTTCGTCTGCTCTGCTATGGTCCTCGGGATGGCTTTGACATGATAGCACGCTGTGGGAGGCAGAGTCTCTAAAATGACAAGGACATCCTCATTGGCTGCGCATGGACGGACAAAGATAAGGTCACCATCAGCGATGTCACCGAGGCGAACTGGGCTGACAAAGACCTGAAACGAGACATTGCGGATGGCATCGAGCTGGGTTTGCACAAAACTCACATGGTCGTCCGGAGGCACATGGATAGCAAAAAGCAAGGGTGGCTCCTCCCAAGCAATGGCACAACATGATGTGCGGTTGAGATCCTTGGAAGCTTTGTGGCACATTTCCATGAAAGTGATCGCCTGCAAGAAACAGGGATGTGCAGTCAGGCTCATGTAGACTTGGTCATTGCAGGTGATGACGGCTGGAGCATTTGGATCTTGCGGTTCAAAGGGCTGAGTTGGTGAGACAATCTCTTCAACAAGATGTGATACACCACTCTCAGGACCTTGTGCTAAGGTAGCCACAAGTTGACTCTTCCAAAAGCATCGAATGACCCTGAGGGGATCAATGCACGAAAGCAGCTCTTCCTCTCGGATGAGGGGGCCTAGGGCGTGATCGAAGGTGATGTCATCGAAGTTCACCTCATCAAATTGCAGGATCAGCCGAATTGCATCAAGCAAGGTGGACCTTTCCGGGACATGTGTAACACGACTACAACCTGAGGCACGAAGGCAGGTGCGAACAAGAATGTACTTCTCCTCTGGCTGCGGCAGGAAGAAAAACCGAAAGTCCAGTGCTTTGACAAATGCCTCTAGCTTCTGAACCTTGAGCCAATCGTCTTTCCGGTGCACGACTGCATTGAGGGACGTCAGGCGTTGCTGCCAGGCTGCTCGAATGAGTTGCTCCGGCGGATCTGAATGCTGGCACACTGCTCGCAAGGCGACAGCCCATGCAAGAAGCGCATGCGGTTGTGCAATGGCATTACCAAGCCCATGGAATGCATCGTGAACATTGGAAGGAATGACAATGGTCCCGGTGGTACCAAACAGCGAAACAAAGGTCAGTGGGCTCAGAAACATGTAGTCATCACCACAGACTTCAAGGGCTGCGAAAATGCCCTTGTTTGCCAAGTGCACAGAGTCTAGAGTGTGTTGTGATGTGTACGAGCTGCACAAAGTGGGCAGTGGTTCATCACGAGCAGCAATCCTGGACCTTAGCACTTCATCCCCGAAGCTGTGGACCAGTCGGGCCTTTTTTGCTGCCGGCAGTAGTTGTGGGTCTGCATACTTCTGACGCGCCTCTTCTGTGAGGTGCAACTGGGATCGAGTGTCCGGCGGCAACCAGAATCGATTCATAGGGGGGGACCTGATTAATCAAGAGTCTACCATTAATCAAGACCCGACTCTGCTTGTCCAACTCCGTGCGAGTGTTCGCGCCGGTTCTCCTTCCAAGTGCCATAGGCCATGCTGACCAAGCTATCACCCACCTCGCAAAGGAACCGGACCTGCCGCTATCGCGCTGGCGGGATGATGGCGGAGGGTGGACGGGTGGACAGAGGGACGGCGGACGTCTCACATGACGTTGGGTTCCAAAAGGGATCATATGGTTTGCACAAGACTGCCAACTACCCCATATATACCATAGCAGGGTCCAAATGCCATCAAGTTGAAATGAAATGGTGTTAGGCCCAATCATCTTGGCTTGTGTGGTCTGACACGTTTCAAAAGGCCTTGATGTTGCGAAACTTTGAGTTTCCAACACATCCTGTCTCCTGCTGGCTGCTACCAGTCGAGGCTTGGAATGTGTTTGAAGACTAAGTGTCTAACTGGAAATGTTTAAAGTAGCCCCAGTGAGTGAAACAACACCTTCATCCCTATAACTCACTCAGTCATCGATGACCTCCCACTTACCAACACATCCGAACGCCTTCACTGCATCTCCCCACACTTGAAGCTCCCACCACCCCGCACCAAACACTGGGTGTTCATCTGGCTGGGTGTCAACACCTGGTCCCGGCAACGCACAAATACACCTGAAACAGACTCAAACCATGATGTCCTTTTGGCAAGACTAGAGGGGTCGATGCCAGATACCATATACACTTTCGTTGTGCACTGGGGAATATCCCCTCTATCAATCAACCAACCAATAGTGAAAGAACAGGTTGAGAACAAATCCTCAAAGAAACTCTGCACTCAGCATGCTCAGTGCTTGGAAAAAGATCCGTCATCACCATCTATGTTCCTGGATGATGGTGATCTCTGCTGGAAAGTGTCCGGTACATGTTCACACACACCAAATGAACAACATCTTATGGTGTGAAACTCCTCTATCTCGCTACAACATTCCCTCCCAGGGCCAGGTCGCACTCTGACACCGTCCCATGCCGTCCCTCTGTCCAGCCTATGTTCAACCTCTACTTTCCACCAAAAAGTCCAGCGTCCCTCCATCCAGCCTGTTTTCCAAGCTCTATCGACCCTCCAAACAAAAAGGTCCAGAAAAAGGTCCGTTCTTCGTGCCCTTCGCGCTTCGTCTCGCCTCCGCCGGCACGGTGGAACATAAATCCTGCCAGTCTGGCAGGTCCTTGAGGGCTTCCTGGGCGAACGGCCAGGGACTCCGGGCCGGGGAGTCTGGGCCCAAGCTTTCTGGGCAGGTCGGGATGCCGAGCACTCGACCTTCTGAGTGTGTCTTTTTGTTCTGTGGAAAGGAGCTTTGCAGGGGGTCCTTGATGTTGAATGGGCGATGCTACTTGTTTGTTGGGTGTTCAGACGGTTTTCGAGGGGCCTTTTGTGTGTATAAGCACGTGGAGTTACTTTCAAAAGAGATTGAGGAAAAGCGGAGGACTTCTCAACCACAGCCAATGGTCACCAGTCGAATGCATCAAATTCCTCAAGTGGGGTCTCCTTCCAATCCAAGATGCTGACCTCATTTGTGCCACCTGTGCCTCATGACAAACAAACGCAACAGCGGTCAAAGGTGAACTACCAACTGGGTCGACGACCTATACATGACTTACATGACACTGTAGTTGCAGGAGACTGCTCCTGATCATGACCAACACCTTCCAACAGGCGACGTTCAAAACAAACAGCACAGCGATGCTGTTTCTGTTACAAGGGATGCACCGTCTATTGGAAGACACCCCAGATGCACTGCTCCAAGAGGGTATTAAGTTCACCAGAAGAAAGGAATTTTGGAATTTGTGCATGAGTGGCGTGGGAATTTGGTGGATTGTGTGGTAATTTGTTCGGAAATGTTCGGAATATATTCTCGAATTGTGGGGATTTGGCCCATCGGGACAATCTCTCCTTGCTGGCCTTGTAAGACCACTATTCTGAGATGTTGTTTCGTAACAAGATGTAACAAGCATTAAAAACAAAAACATGTGGTCCATGTGGCATGTATCTCCTACATCTGATCATCTATAGGCGTGCCGTCCTGGTGTACACGCGGACTTCTTTCGCCCACCCCCTTCGATCCCGGCGACTTCGCGACTTCCTGGCCTCCGCCCAGCGGACCTGTGCCAGGTAGGTGTCGCTCACCACGCTCGGCTGGAAGCCCTGCGCATCGTATGGCGCCCGAGCCGATCGAAGCCGGGTGACTTCTCTGCCCCAGGTGCGCCAGTCGTGCGAAAGGGATGATGGGAACATGCCACCGAGTGCTGCTGTAGCCGGGGATCTTGACCATTAACACTCCAGAGTCACTAATGTGGAAGTGCAAAACCACCGGTTTGGTACTTGGGAAAGTGCATCCAAAAGTAAGGGTCCACTTTTTACTTCCCTGATTTCTTCAAGCATAGTCAGTTTCTATAGTTGCTAAGGTCAAGACATGCAGCTTGGGTGTGATCTATTGCTTGCTCACTTGAAGTGGGAATCTCCGGACGACCCTGAAGTCCTCTCTTGGTTTTGCAAAACCACACACCAATGCCGCATGATGCATTCACCTTGGTCACGGAAGGTTGTGAACGAACGCATGGACTGGTCAGGTTTACCCCAATCGGGAGTCCCAGTCAAGTTCGAAGCGACACCTGTGGTGGCGACGCTGTGGACAATGAAGCAAGGTGGGAGTCCTATCTGCTTGGATTTCCGCGAAGCAAGGTAAAAGCTGCAACTTGCCTCCCAATGGATGCATCACATTCACAGAGCACAAAAAGCAGAGTTGAGCAACCCTTTGCCAGCGCATGGTGCCCATTCACCAGTCACCAGAAGCTGGTTCCATACAATAATCTAGGATTCCAGGTCCACCAGCGATCGGATTGTTTTTACTATATATATATATATGGGTTTTGGACTACAAAACTAGGTTAAGTTAACCTTGCTTTCAATGGTCTTGGAAGGCTAGGGTATAGTCTCTGCAGACCCTGCTCCTCGTCGCACTCCCTCCCTGAAGCACCGCGCCGTCTCACGCTCTTCGCTTGAGGGGCCCATCTGCCAGATCACTTCGATGGTGTGCCACCTAAACTCCTTGGGCGCCGGAAAACATGAAGAAGCCGAAGAAGAACTGAAACGGTTTCCGTTTCTGTGCAAACCTTTGGTTGATTCCCACAAGGTTGGACGGTCGTGCTTTCGGGTAGATATCTTTTTTTCTGAATGACTCATTCGAGAACTTCTTGCGACCTTATAGCTTGGTTTCTGAAATGCCTTCTATATTTAACACATCGTGAACCTTCAGACCTGCGGTCAAGAGGTAACATATCCCTTTGGCCTTTATTAACTGCCAGCAATTTTCCTCGGTGGATTGGTAGGTGAGGAAAATAATGTTTGCTGAGGGAATCAAAGTGGGTCAAAACAAAGGCACCCAAATCGCCTGGACCCTCTTCCTGGTGGAGGGGAATGGCCCAAGATGAATTATTGGACTGCACTGGGTCCGCCACATCGATCAAGGGCCGAATGGCTGTTGGTGCCATTATAACGTAAGAGGCACGCGTATTTCATCCATTAAACGTAGTGGAAACTCTTGAAGACATGAAAGCTGGTGGTGACTGATGAACTGCAAGCTCGGGTCCTGGCATTGCTATGTTTCATGGGTGAACAAGAATATACAAACTTCGAAATACCATGAAATACCCAGGGGGGCACGCAACCAGGACCCAACAAGGCGCTTATAAAACGGAAGCTGCAAAATCACCAACCAGAGCGGCTATCACCAAGAACAAACAAGTGTTGGGGAAGCTACCCGCCACCCGTTGTGGCAGCTGCGTCCCGCAAAGGTTGATGGAAGCGACGGTGGCCGCCATGTCTGAAGCATTCCCTGCGCTGCGGAGCAATTGCTCGTTCGGTCGTCAATGGATTGCAAGACAGAAACCATGGTTGTTGGTTTTCTCAACTCTTATAACTTACAACTGTTTATGGAATCAATCATATCCTTTGCACACATTACCCACAAACCACACACGGTGAAAGAAGGTCGTCGTTCTCCCCATCGATCAGCAGGTCAAAAGCAAAAACGCGTAGTTGTGAGTGGAAATGCAATGACATGCCATCCCGCAATTCCCCTAACCCATCAGAAACTGTCCATGATTTGCTTTCAACAGGCACGTGCTGCTCGAATCTTGTGACCTCAGGCTAGTATTCCGACTCTTCTTCGACCAGGAACCACAGATGAGCTCTCATGACTTCTGTGGCACGCACCAGTGCAGTTGCAACAAAAATAATAACATCTTAAAACTTCTAAAGCATCTCCAAGCACCTCCAGCGACAAACACATCTCAGTTTCACCCTCCATCTCCTTTTCTGCCCCCAACGCCGTGCCCAGCGGTGCCTGGGCCGGACACGTCCACCAAGGGCTCCCCAATACTCTGCAAATCCTCAGTTCGAGCTGATTGCACGAAGAAGAGATGGAGAAGACAAAGAGAAAAAGGACCTCAAAACCGCCAGGAGGGATGGGATTCTGAAGAAACACAGATCTTCTGCTCCGAGAAATGACCCCCTTCGCCTGGCCATGCCATTCGAGCAACTGCGAATGGACCAATATACAGAAATATCAAAACCAACGAGATTCCTTGATCTCACCCAACTTCATGTCATTTTCATGTGGATGTGAGTGCCGTTCAAACAATATCATATCCAAACACTCCATGTACGGCATATATGCCTACATTGACCCCTTAAACCACTCGAATGCAGGTCTATATGTGCCATACATGGATGGCTTCGGATATACCAATATCACTACCAATATCTCCATGCACCAACGTAGGCCTCCAGATGTGATGGACGATCAACATCAAAGCATGATCAACCCCACAAAACATACCAACGGTCCTCAGAATAGGCGCAAACATGGTCGAAGACTCAAGGAAAATTCCAATTTTGCGCATAGCATACAAAGACCTATATAACCAAATATATAAGTCAAACAAAAAAACATGCATGTTCCGCTGCTACTGGCACTCCACCAAGACCTGAAACACGCTTATCTCCTATAGTTGTTCCTATGATTGCCTCGTCAATGGCCGACGAACGCCAGGCAGGCGCGCGCGCGGGCCGAGCGCGCGCCCATGGGTCCCATGGGTCCCGTACCAACATTTGCATCTTGGCATTCTGGAAGTAGGCGTAGGAGATGGCTTGAGGGACTCCCACCTGAACACGGCGGTTCTGGTGCCCTGGTCCTACACAAAAGACGCTCGCAGGGCTGAAGACAAAGGGTTTCTGCCTTTTGCGGAGAGTTTTTGGAGGTGAGCGACAGAGGTTGAACAGTTTTTTGGAGTTGTGCCCTGTCCAAGGATCCGCAGCGGCCGAACGTCAAAACTTGTGAGGTGTGGCACTTCGTGACCTCTTGTGGGGTCGGTGGGAGCTTGGCAGCTGGCCAATTGGCCGACCTCAAAACAGAACCAGCCACCGTATATATGTGCCTTTGTAGTACACAAACACAACTACCAAGTGATTTACTACTTGCTACTCACTGAAAATGACCGCCCCTGTTCTTTGGGGATGGAGGCCCCCAAAAATGCTGTTGCCCTTCACTCCGCCTGCTTGAGGTGCCCAAAGGCGCCCAGCGTCACCTGCGAGACGGGCGAATGAAGGGCCGTCGGGATCTACACACCTGGGGTTAAAATTGTTTCAAAAGTATGTTCAAAACTCATCAAAACTCAAATTTGAGACTTGATTTCACCATGGGTGTGGTTCACAACAATCAAACAGCCCAGCTTATTGAGTTGCCCCATGTTGCCGCATTGCCCCTATTTTTTAAATATCAAACGGCTGAGTTGCCCCTACTTTGTAGATATATGTCCTCTTCATCAAGGCAACAACCCCCGCTGGCTTCAAAAAATGGTTCATGCCCTCAGGCGCCATGCTCTCCAGCCAAATCGATTGCCATGTTTTTTGCATTTTTTGCGACACATTTGCGCTTTTGTGACACGTGGCGCATGCAGCGCGCAAATGAATTGAACAGCTCTACCCGTGGTAGTCGACCCGAGCAACATGGTCCGGTCATGTATGCTTTCAGCACGCCAGACGCCTTGTGCTAGAACCAGAGTTTGAACTGAGTGCCATGCAGGTGACGATGTGGAAGCAGGTCACGCACAACAGCCGTCCAAGCCAGGAGCAAAGTTGCGTTATTCCACCGCAGTGCAAACAATTATCCATTGGTCAAAGCAAACTAGAGACAGCAGTGAGCGCCTGCAGTCATGCATCACCGTCCAGAGCCGCAGACTTGCAGCATTTCCATGTTTTCGCCCTGCATGTGGCGGTCACCAGGCGCTCAACCATAGCTTGCAGTGGGTGCATCTGCTTTGCCAAACAAATCGCCAGTGCGCTTGTCAATGTTGTAGTCCCACAAGAGCCCCTCCCTGAGCGCCAAAGTTTATAGAACGTAGTACATGGTAGTACTGACAGTCGGAGTCGTCCTTTTTGCGGACCCATTCTGAAACACCCTTCAGAGCAGGATCGTTACAACACGTTGTTTTCAAGCACTCACGCGAACAGAATTTTCATGTGGTTCACGCTGGGTGACAAGAGCAGCTTGGTCGTTTGAATGTCTTCCTTTATGGAGGAGAGCATGAGATGGCCCTGGCTAGACTCAGGTACCATGGTCGGATTCGGCCACAACGTTTTTCCGCAAGGTCATAGGTATATATCTCTCCTTGAAGACACCAACGCCGCTTTGAACAACCGCGCGAGCCGACGACGGAGACGATACACACCTGCTCCCGGGGAAGGATCACTCGTGAGGCGACCCCCCTCGTTGATCCATTGAAATTGAGCTAGAGCACCTTTAGCAGACCTTCCCAGTAGTTTCAGCCGTTTCTGGAGTTCGTAGATTGGAAGTGATGAGAGTTTTTCCGTGAGGAGCAAGGATTCTGTTGCTAGGATGTAGCAGTGTAAAATACATTCTTGAAAGTGGTCCCAATCAAGTTGTACAATGTCTTGGGGGTTCGGACCATCGAACCATCAGGAGAGAGAGAGAGAGAGGAATGGACAGGCGTATGTTAACCAAATGGCTACCAGGAAAATAAGATTATCGGCATGGATGGACAGAAAGAGAAACTTAAGTGCCAGTGTTAAGTGCCTATATGCACCAATACGCTTAAGTGCGCACTGGGTGAACTTCACTCTTGCTCAAAACCTCGCCGTACCTGCCCTGGCGTGTTCGCACAAAACCCAATACCCTTTTACAATCAAGCACTATATAGAGGACTGGAGGTCAAGAGAACAACACACATACATGAACGGACATGCAAAAGCACGCGCATGAGAGCACACACATGAGCACATACCACCACTTTAAAAAGAGCACGCGTGAGCACGCATGAAAGCACATATATGGGAGAGCAGAGAGCACATTTGCTGCTTCAAAGTCCACAAGAGAGCACATATATGAGAGAGACAAATCTGCACTTCAAGGTCCACAAAGTGCTACGCTGCTTTACTTGCCACGAAACCCACACTTCAAGGTCCACAAGATACTGCCCCTGCCACGAAAACTGCACTTCAAGGCCCACAAAGCACTGCACTTGCCACGAAATCATCTGCACATCAAGATTCACATCGCGCAGCCCTGCCAAGGCGATTGATTCGCAGCAAGAGCACTTCCAAAAAAACATCATCAATGCTAAAACGGAGCTTTCGCTCGAGACTTGCTCTGAAAACGAGCCGCATGTCCAAAAGTCACGACTCACTGAACCTCCCACGAAATCTACACATCGACGTAAAACTGCTCTGATCTCCTGCGCCTGTCATGAAATGTCACGAAAAGTCGACTTTGGACCACCAAATTCCCGTGCGCCTGCCACGAAAAGTGATCACCAAGTCCGAAAATGTGCACAGCACCCCAACAAGAGCGCAGTCGAAGAGCACCCGCTCGGCCCCAAGCAGATTCTGCGAGCTATTCTGGGTGCTATGCAATTTCAATTAAATTTCAGCTGCATCGCCTGCAAAAAAGGGGAAGATCCATTCTCTTCACTTCTTTCCAACTCCACCGTCCCTCCAGAACCCCCGGTTCTCCGCGAGCTCCTCGGGCCGCGTGCTGACGCCCCACCTCCGGTAGCTGGGTCCATGTGAGCAAGGAGATGGCGAAAGTCACCGCCAAGGTGAAGAGGAAGAGGGTTCCACCTGGCGGTCTCCCCTTGACCACAGGAGAAGAAATCTGGAACAAATCTCAAGACCATTGGCACGACGACTCCATTGATGTGTGCCCCCATGTGTGCGTCGACTTCGTGTGACCCATGCGCGTTGAACTTTGAGTGATGTTTTGTTTGTTTTAAGTAGTGAATTTTGTACGCACAAGCCAGTTGTAGCTGATGTTGGAAATGTAAAAAAGAACATTTACAGATTGGATAATTGGATGGTTTGGGGCGAATTTGAGTATGGGGTTCAGTGGTTTGGTGGTTTTGCTTCCCGCTTCACTGGCTTCTACACCAGGGTCGCCCCATTCCTCACGCTTCCAGCAGCGAACGCTGCCTTCCCAGTGATGTCTGGCCACAAAAAGCGGGTCAAGACTCTGGCAGCCAGGGTCTTAGGTTGGAAACAACCTGGTTGGTAGCATTGTGTTCCACCAAGTTCTTCACCGCCACAACACACGGTGAAACTTCCATGCTGGCTCATGGAAGTGCTGAAGGGCCAGTGAAGCCCAAATACCTTTCAACAACAACGTACACAGGCTTAAAACATGTTCACAACTAGCATAAGTCTTAGTAATTGCCCCTTGGAACCACTTGCTGTAGGTATAGGGAGGCGTTTAAAAAGAAAGATACTCAAAACAGCCAACCAACTATCCCACAATCAGGCGTGCCACTTTGTCCCAAGGCCAACCCCCTTCAATACGAAAGACGGCTCCACACTGGCAAGAAGCGCTTACTTCACACCTGCTGGCGGCCAGCTGGGAGTTGTGACTCCCACTGGGAGTTGCACAGTGCCTACAGCGTTTCTGAGGTTCAAGCATTATAGTTGGATCAGTATTGGGATGCTTCGAAACTATCAAAAACCGGTTCCAGATTCTAAACCAAACCCTTCTGGTCAAAACAAAGTTCCTTATTAATGGGCTTCTGATTACTAGAGCCATCACCAACCCCTAAGTCAGCTGGAGTCTGGTCTGTTTGCTTGGTGAAATAGCTTGAGGAACCCACCTCATCGCCGAGCCCTGTCGTTTTTGGAATGTTTCGGTGGAACGAAAAACAGAAAAAAATAAAACAACATGCGGTCCAGGAAGGCACATGCTTCAGGACAGGGATTCATAGATGGTCCATATCATCCATAGCATGTGCCTAAAGGCTCCTAGACCCGAATCTGCAGGGTTTGGGGTTTCTCATTAATCCCTAGGTGTTGAGGGACCAGTCCGGTTGTAAACGGAGTGTCTGGGTGGTTTTAGGCCTAGACAGCTAAACAGTCCTCCGGAGTCGTCTATCTTGCCTTGGCCCTGATACTCTCTCTCTCTCTCATACTCCACATCCGCCATTCCCACCCCCTCCTCTGAATGAACTGCTCCAACTAAACAAAACATCTGTTGTGGATCTTGGTGAGAACATGTGGGAACCTCTAGTCTTATTCCTGGCCTGCATCTGCCGCAAGTGACTTGCTCAGAATGCCTCAGCCCGCGCTTTTGGCATTTCTGGCGGAAGTGGGTTGAACACATGATATAAATCGTGGTTGATGGCTGCACACACACTTAAAAGTATTTGGAAAATTATTTTAAACAAGGGAACGTAGACCTCTTCAAACCTCAATCCAACAACTTGCGAGGCCTTTTGAAGGAAAACTTGATGCACATAAATGATAGTTCAACACCAAGGTGTCATGATGTTTGTGTGATGGCATCGTATGAATTTACATATTATCTGATGGGCGATCTGACGAAATACCTTCAAGCATTGCAACTGGCAACTTTGGGGCCCACTATATGTATATAACCCCTCCTGGCGTGGAAGTGCTGAGAATGCACCAAACTCCTGGTGTCATCAACTCGTCGAGTTGTTTAATGGGCTTTAGCTGACACATCCAATCCTTTCAAGTTTCCCTCAAGCAATTCGACTCTGCTTTTCTCACAGCCTGGATACATGATGATACCGTGATACCTGTATTATATACAGTTTCTCATCCCAGGGCTTTAGCACAAAACACTCCCTTCAGAGCCAGTGCCCCTGCTCCGTGGAGTTTTCATCCTGCACTACCAATCTCCACCCATCACCAACACGTGTGTTGTAGTGTTAGTCATCATTTCATCCCCAGTTCAGTGCGTTCAAGGGATAATTATAAAGGGGCGCTTACCTGTGATGGTCCTCCAAGCCACTGCAACAATAACCCAGTGGGGGGTTCTTCAAAGTGACCTTGTCTTCTGCCAGGTTGAGGTTCCTTACACCTACAAAAAGGTCACTTAGGGTTGAAGAAGCTGGATTAGCCTGTTTATGTTTTTAATTGAAATCCAATGAGTGGTCTATACTTAAGTATACTTAAGTGGCGAGTGGCCCTCATGTGCCATCCTGTCACATTTCTCTACATTATAGGCCCGGGGTGCGAGGAGACCAGGTCGTCCTCGAACATGAAGCTGCCTGTGCTAATCTCCTGGGCGACAGCACTGTGAGTTCTCCGTTGATGCGGCACTTTGGCAGCAGAAGCAGTCTCACTACACCTAAAGACTTGATACAGTGATACACTCGGCAAAATGCGTCGCAAAGACATCTAGTGGTAAAGGAAAGCAGTTTAGCAGGATCTTTTTGGAGATTTCTCCAGAAAAGATCGAGCTGCCCAGTAAGAACATGCGTGGTAAATGCTTGGCAACTACCTGAGGCCTGAGTATGAGCCATGGTGAGAGCCACCCAATTTGGAGGTAAATGACTTTAATTGTGTACCGTACCCCCACAATAATTACCTCCAACGGAACGAACCTTTGAAAAATCACTGTAGATTGACCCTGTACGCAATCAAGCTACAAATGTTCAAGAGCTACGGTTCCCTTGACAGGACAGTCTTGAGGCATAAAAATGTATTGACCAAGCCCAAGCCCCGCTGCACTCGCCAGATTTCTGGAGTTTAGATGTTTGCTCTGGCTTAGTGGATCTTAAGAGGGACATCCAACCTCCGAAAATGCAGTTCTTGGATGTTAAAGACTATCCACTCTTCCTGGCCAAAGAACCCATCCTCCCCGTCACCGCACTGCACACTCCACCACCGAGGCGCCGAGAGCCGCGAAGGCGAGCGAGGCAAGTTGGTGACCTGAGCTGCACGAGGGCGACGTGGATCTGTCGAGTGTGGGAGGGGGGTGAGGTGTTGGTGTTTTCCTTCTTCTTCTTCTTCTCTGAGGAACATCTGATTTCCTATCAGAGAACACTTTAAGGAATATCTCTAAGGAATCTGATCTGATTTCTAGAGGAACATCTAGGAACGTCGAATTACCCTCCGTGAAATCTAAGTGGTTACGTGGATCGCACCGCACTCGAACGATCCCTGCCGGGACAAATACTTGACCTCAAAGTCCATGCTTTAAACTACAAAATAAACAAACGCACATTCAGCTCCAAAAGAACACGCACAAGCAAAAAGGTCTGCTTCCACAACCTCAAATGTGGTATAGGTTCCAAGCTCAAGGAAAGTCCGTCTCTGACAATGTCACTGCCTTAAGAACATAAACCTCCTTTGGTCTTTCAAAGCCCGTCAGGGCATCTAATGTAGGCAACCCCACACGCTCGCTCTTGTTGCTCTTCTTCTTCCGCCGCAGTGCAGCCTCTTCAGAAGCCGCGCATGGTGGGCGGTGCAGGTTGATGGCGAAACGGTTTGCTTGGTTTGAAGCGAAAGGTCTCAACCAATGGAGATACGATTGGATACGTTGTTCAGTTATGAAACAATTGAACAAAATTATATACAGGATTAACATGGAACTTTGGGATCGCTCCATCAGCGTGTAAGCAAGGTCCCCGAGTAAGGCAATTGTGCATACAACAGGTGCTTTAAACTGTTCACATTAGTCACGCTGGCATGGAGAATGGGGAATACTATTTGCCAAAACGAGAGTATATATCAGCATGTGCATCCAGCAAGTTTGTTGAAAACTTGGTTTGCTCTGTGCACTAAAGAACTTGAATAGAACTTGTAACTTGATTATAATATGGTACTTGATCCCCACATGCGATGTCTTTTGATGAGGGCTGCATAGGAGTCAGATCTGGTGTTTCCAGAGTTCTTTTCAAGTTTTCAGGCTCGTATTCACCCATTCTCAGTCATCTCATCCTAAAGCCAAGTCAGCCATTCCTAAGCGACACCGTAAATCTGCTCGGACACCAATAGGAACAATAGGTTTTATCCGCTCACCCTGATTGGATGAAACTGCTTGGATACTGGATACGTAGGCCCTTCAGGCCCCGAAATAGCTGGTTTCCCATCTATAGACTATAAAGATCAATCAAGCGTAAACAGGTAAACCCCATATTGACATCTATTGGACATCAATTAAACATCATGAAACTCTCTCTCTCTCTCTCTGCCCCCTCTCTCTTTCCTTCCTTAGGAAGAAAGGACTATATAAGGACACATGTCGCTTTAGCTCACAGCCAGTTCAAGCGACTTTCCCTCCATTTGCCGTTCCAACGGACTTTGGGCACGGGGCAGATCGCCTGGGCCCTCGCCCTCCAACTGCTGGGGCTGCTCCTGAGATGCAAAGGCGGGTGGAAGCGTCTCTTCGTCCTGAAAGGGGTTGTCCAATCCCAGGACACCCCGCAAAACCACTCGTGTGTGGTGGTAAACTCTCTTCCAAGATCTTTCAAGCTCTCAGGTTCCATCTTATATACGCTCAAGTGTGTCCTCCACTCTCTTCTGGCCATGTGAAAAAACCTGCCACTTCACTCATTTCACCCTGCACGAGTTCATCGCTCCGAGCTGCTGGGGCGATTGGACCTGCGTGGCATCGTCCACCAAGACTTCCAGCGACTCAACACGTGCATGCGCAGCCGCACGGGTGCGCGTCGGCGGGTCGGGGTGCACGAGCGAACGTCCGGAACGTCCGAGCGGGGCGGGGGGGGTGCGGTGGGAAAACATGCTGCGCCGAGTGTGCAGCGGGATGTGGGAGACTCATCGAACTTTGGTGAAAGGAGGCGAAAGTAATTATCTCTGGGTGGAACATGTGATAACAAGGGGGCCTGAAGGAATTCTTTTTGGTCCTTGTGGAACTTGGTGGCACTTTCTATAGCTACTTCAGGTGGGAGTTTGACAAAATGATGACAGTGCTTGCATTAGGGTGAATGCACAGCATGTACCCCCCCCAAATACATCCGCCCAAGAATATATCCTTTCACAAATGGCCATGGCTACCGTAGTGGACCAAGGAAATTTGGTCACCACTGCGCACTTAATTGTCCCCCAAACTGCCCAAACTGTTCAGGAAACGATGAAACAAACAAACAAACAAAACAACTCCTCACCATCCGCCAGAATCCTGGCTCCAAGCACCCTGGCAAAAAAACGCTGGATGGGAAACTGCCAAAACTCGACTACATGTCTGGTGGTTTGAGCTGGTGAATCGTGCTGGCCATCTTGGCGCCATCAAACGCGGTCGCCACGAAACGTGTTTCGAGTGAACGAGGGACCTTTTGGGCCTTGCGGCCAAGGCACGGGCACCTCATCCTGACGACCAGTGGACCGGTGGATGGGTCCAATGAAAAAAGGATAACGGGTGCAACATGGTCCAATGTAAATACTCGAGCAGTAGTTTGTGGACAATAGATTCAATATGATTCAATGGTTCTTGACCTAGAGTATCTTTAACATCTATGTGTTTCTGCTTGAATCCACCAGTGGATGGTGTGTGCCCAGGCAAAAAGTTGATCAAACATCTCAGTTGCCCAACCTTGGGACTTGGGAACTTGTCGGTCGATCTCAGTCAATCTCTTTGGGGAGCCATGAATGGGCTGGAACAAAATGCCTTACGCGGGGCAGCTCAGCCATGAAGCATTTTCCACCTCTTGGCGGGGGAACATCCTTGGCTCCAGGGTCCGAGCTTGGAGAGTCCAAAGGCGCCAGGTCAATCTGAAGAACACCCGTCAAACTTCGGCTTTTCTGATCTTGCCAAAAACAACGGCTCTTCTTCCAGCCCTTGCAGAACCAAGAAACATGACACAAGTAGAGTTTCCTTGATCTTGAGAACTGCCAAAACTTGTGTCCATGCCGTCTTCACTCCGGAACATCAAAGGTCTCATTTCCTTCAGGACCCATTATAAGGGCCTTAGGGGTCCTCTGGTTGTAGTATATCCTTAGGGATCCACATACCCTCTGGAAACGTCGCTGGACCCTCCAAACACCCATTTGCCTTCACACAGGAGGTAAGCTAGGGCTTGCTGGGGTATAGTACCTCAACTCCTGTTTGCACTCGCCACACCGTCAGCACCCCGTGCTGGAAACCCCCACGGTCACGAAAAACCACTGCCGGCCTTGGACTCGTCGAAGTCGTCCTGAAATTCCGAGACACGGTGGATCCCTAAAGTGGGAAATGTAAATGGGTATGAAATAGGGAGACCTCCCAGTTCGACTACCTGCTTCGGAATGAAAAGAGACCAGTCTATCCAGCCAGGGCCAGGGTGTCTACCCAAAGGTCGAGAGGTTCTTTCGGGTCCCAAACAGTTTACTGCGAGTGGATCTTAATCAGCGAAGTTTGAAGCTATCACTGACGGTCCATAAGCGGCGTAGCGTCGGAACGGAAACCGCACCTTTTCTAGTCGCTTGATCCTTGAGCCAAAGTACATATGGTACATATATATGTACAAGTTGCACTGTACGTGTCGCTGCACTTCCATTCGCACCCCCCATGTGAACGGCAACAATATGTTCCGATCACACACGAAAATTTAGGGATGTAAGTGCTACAAAAGAAATTGTATGATTTGCCGCGAGACTCATATGAGGCTCATACTACGAAACATGCTGGACTAAAGCGGACTTTTACATATAAAGTGTGCAACTATGGCTCAGAACCTATGAAAATCGAATTGAACAAGTGAGACAGTCACGAGGCCTCGCTCAGTATCCACTCAAAAGAGCATCGCTTTGATGTAGATCCGAACTGGTGACTTCCACGTAGATGTCACATCGGCAACTGACTTCACACTTCTCAAAGATGTAGGTTTTGGTTTGGATACACTTACAGAACGGCAAGTCGGAGAGACAGTCGGTGACTGTCTGCCTTCCATTATGCTCATGGTATCAAATCGTCAATCCGATGATTTGCAATGATACACTTACAGCGTTTCAGGTCAGATAGACATCCGGTGAATGACTTCCTCCCTGGTTTGCATGGTATCCTCATAGTCGTTCAAAGAAATCACCACTGGCGATAACCTCTCCATCCACGATGATCCCAGCTGCCCTGAGCATCCCGCCGAGCATCTTCTCCCTTCTTGGACTTTCCCTTGGACTTGCTCTTTCCCTTCCCCTTTTCAGAAGGTTGAGGTACTTCGCGACGTTCTTGCGTTAGCGCCGGCCTCCAAGATGTTCCAGATTGGCCTCCTCCTTTGGAATGTCCTCGGGATGATGAAGAAGTTGTACCTTCTGCTGCATGT